AAGTAATAAAATAGCAGGCATTGGCCATTTATCACAAATATAAATCCTTCGTATTTATCTACAGACAATCATATGAATATAATTGTATGGCATGTATATTTCTTTCTGATTTTTATTCAATGTCTGCTTTGGTTAAAGTTATTTCATTGTTGAAATGACTATGACATATTATACATATTTCAATTTTTTAAAGAAATCCAATCCAATAGCGAATTTACAGCAATGTACAAGCTGTTTGGTATATCATTAGACCAGTGCTTAACACTATAAAGTATATAAAAGTGTGCTAATTAAGGGGCTGTGAAGTGTTTTAAATATATATAATCGACTTTATGCTTTTTATTTTTTTCTGATCTATTCTACAATCGACAGGTGTCTGCTTTTTCATTCTATCATAATTATTATGATACATTGTACATTTTCTTTTGCAATATGATGTAATTATTAAATTCCATAAGCATCCTTTGCTTAAACCTTAAATCTTAGTTCACGCTACAGCCTTCAAAAGTTCTGAAAACGAAATATCCGAGTACAGTACTCCCGGCCGCCTCAGCGTTTGCAGACACTTACGTTTGCGACGCTGCATCAACTGTGGTGTCAAAACGCGTATAAATTAATCAAGTGTGAAACCAAGCTTTAAAATGTACTGTATACGCGCGTGACAAGAATTAGATGCCATTGAAGTTCAAGAATAAGCCATTCAATACTAGGTTTTCTATGACATTAAAACGAGTGATTTTTTTCATTGATATTGACGTTGTGTTATTGTTACAGGCCATTAATGTTGTTTTGATTTATGTTATTGTTAGGAAGCCGTTTTGTGTGTCGATGGAATTAAAACAATTACATTTCTTATTTGATTTTCACACTTGTCATAAAATTAATGTGCTAATCTGACAATTAGATCTTAAAATATTGTTATCTTTCCTTGACAAAATCCTATAAGCAACCGTACGAAGATGATTAATCGATCGTTAACTTAGATTCTACGCTGGCGATCCCCATCATCTTAGCACGCTTTGTATTGCTCTTATGAACAATCCCAGAAGGAATGTATCAATTGATACAATGATGCATGAGCAATGAATACTTACAATTAATGGATTTACTATTAAGTTTTAATAGGCTCATTAATGGACTATGAAATGATATACATATCCCTTATGTGCACATAATAAATAATACAAGTAAATAGATCGTTCCAGTTACTCTCGCCTTAGATTGTTGATTGGTCCAAACGACAACAAGACAGTGTAATCATTATGTTCTTGAGACATACGCGTATACCTGACTCTGTTTTGAGTGGTCTGTCGTTAAGGTTGACTGACACTCCGAAAGGTCTATCGACACGCAAAGTAAACGAATAAGCAAATTAAATATTTACTCAGCAAAAACAAACACGGTATGCACACATAATTACAATGTTTTAGGAAATATTGTGTTCAATGTCTGTTAGAGACAATTATTTTTTTCTCTAAAAATCTATAAGCATCTTTATATATCACTGATGTTGGTGTTTTTATATACCTTCTTATACATCAATTATGTAATTTATCTATCTATATTTGCATTAACGCAATACATTGAGAAAAATAGGCTTCAAGCGCGAGCGTGTGTGTATGCCCTATACGGTACTGCCTTACTGTGTTATGCTTACTAATAAAGTATCCCCGTGGGATTCGGTTATCAGGAAATGTGTGGTGTTTTTTGTTTTTTTAATGACTTTTGTAGGCCTACAGTAGGTAGGCCTGCCACGCCAAAATTGGTCCGGCCCGAAAAACGTCCGGCGGACAGATTTTGGCCGCCATGACACATAACCCATCATGCACCCCTTTCAGCCATCTTTAACTGCCAACGACAGCATATTGTCTTTGCCCCCGATGGGGCATAGACACAAAAAAAAAAACCACCTTAATGAAGAATCAGAAGGGATCAAGCTGGTCTTAACTCAGTTGGTAGAGCATCGTGCGTTTAAATACCAATTGACTGGTTTGCCGTCGGAACTCTGGATACTCTAACCGACGGTGATGGATAGGCCAAGCCAAAAGACCGTCATAAATCGTCGTTTGGCAAACTGGGTTTCGGCAAATTTAGAGTTGGCGATCTGACATTCGACAAACTGTGATTTGGGATTGTCGGGTATCAAATTCGAAATTCGGCAAACGGGATTTTCAGCAAACTAGGAGGATACCGTAATAAATGTAAAACTTCATTACATTACTGCCCCTTAACACACTAGTAGATTCGTAAACACTTTCCGTGCTCTTACTTTATTTTTTGGCAACATCAGTCGTAAAAATCTGGGGTAACGCTCTATCGTCAAAGAAAAAACTCTCATTCCGACAATTTCTTGTCATCCACTTGTTGCTTTGTTGCGGATATGACCTCAATCTGTCGCGGCTTCCATAAACGCGGATTATTCGTCTGAGTACATACAGTACACACAATGCTATTTTTTAAAAAATAGTTGAAGATCTACAGCGCAGTCAGTTTGTCTACTTACTATGAATATATTTTGTGTTTTGCTCAAACAAGTATAAATGAAATACCATAAAAATGACTTGTGATATAAAGTATTAAGAAACGCAGATAATTATTATATTTATCATCTTTATCATTGCTATTCCATTAATAGATATTATCAACAAAACTTTCATTCACAAACGTCGTGTATACTTGATTCTTACTTGTTATATGAAATAAGTTAATAGGGTAAAATATGCAGATACAACATTAAAAGACTATACTGTAGCTTTTAAAGGTCCTTAGGGGTTACAATTACTAAGTTCAACATCAGGCTAAAAGGATCGACAGAGGGAACACCATTAGCAATAATTTCAAAACATTATTATTAAACACCTTTAAAACCCATTTCGTAAGTTTTCACGGGATATAAATAATAAATTATGGTTATTGCTTCTATCCTTCTAGAAGTGCGAACAATTCCATTAACGGTCATCGAGCTTTGATGCACTTTTTGATATTTTCTAATTTAGCTTTTTTTTTTCGCTGCAAGCGCTAGAAGCTAACTGAACAATAAATACTCCATGAAAGTGAAAGTTCTGCAGTCGTCTGCTTTGTAATCTGAAAGGTTTTGTCATTTAATACACAAGGCAATGCGCCTTCATTGGTCATGTTTCTAAACATATAAATCAATGGACGAATGATATGAATGATGTGAGCAAAAGAATGAATAAATAATTGATTGAATGAATTAAAAGAAATAATGAATTAGTATAACACAATGAATTAATTATTAATGAATGAATCAATCGGTATGCCAATTAAATACATAACGAATAGCCAACTATTATGATGTGTCGGTTGGTTCTGACCATAAAAGTATTAAATAATAATATGCTCACTTTCAACACAAACCTTAGCAACCATGAGTTTATAATATGCTCACTTTCAACACAAACCTTAGCAACCACGAGTTTCTATACAGTTGGGCCTTACCTCTCATTATCTAAAACACCTTCCGCTTGCTGCATAAAAATAATGCTGAAATGCACGCAGCACGGCTGGAATGCTTAAGGCTCTAGGCCTGCGAGTGCCCGCCCCAGTATTTAGACGACCACTGGACCTCTGAACCCTTCTAAAAGTACAGTAATCTTGGTTATAATCCTCACAATTTTTCGTAGTAGAACTATATTTGTTTTTACTGGTTATTTTGTGTTAGTATCTTTACCGTTTTTCTGCTTTTGTTTAATATTTTATAAAGATTAAAATGATTTCAAAGCAGAGCTGAATCCAAGCTAAATGGCGTAATGTTTGCAGGGGCGGATTTAGGGGGGGCCGGCCCGGCCCCGGCCCCCCCCCTTTTGGACATCTCTGGATCCGCCCCTGGTTTGCTTTATTCCTTGCCTTCAACATCAAAAAATGTAAATGTGAAATTGCGTCTTACTGCTCCTATGAAATCTTACGCATGCGCGAGTATTGTTGCGCCTATACATACTACTGGTATTACGTAATTCAAATATAAATACAAAAAAAATACAAATACAAATACGAATACGTATGCAAATACGTTATAATTATAAATACGCCCAGAAAATCGATCGATCAGCTAGTTAATCAATCAATTAATCAATCAATCACTCGTACCATATATGCCGCCAGTTCTTGCATTGCCATTAAAGTTAAAATTATGAAAGTTTGATAATATTAATCAACCTACAGTGTTTTCGGCGTGCATAATTTATTTTTACAATTTTGTGATATGGGAAAGTTATTAAATTTGATTATTAATAGGCCTACGTACCGCAGATTTGTTAAAATTATGACGTAACATATTGACCAATTGAAGCTTGGTGAGTTATTTTACAAATTCATGACTTGATTGAATTGTGTTTAGTGGCTGGCTGCGTATTGGGACGGATATCACAATTTATGTGGATTGGTACGCAGCGTATCCCCTGCCGTTAAAATGGATGCTTCATGCGTTCACCACGAGGTTCGCGCGGGTGCATCCAGAGGCTACGTCACACCTTAACATAGCCAATCACAGGAGTTCTAACATCAGCCACTAGTAAACCTTTGATTCAAAGCATTATGTGATGTAAATTGTTAAATTATTCACGACTTTTGTGTACGTCGATAAAGTACGCCCATTCAGGCATACTGCTATTTAGTTGGATCAGGGAGGAGGCACTAGAATAATGTGTGGCAGTTATCGAAAAATATTTACAACTTGATTTCACCACAGTCATCAGCAACTCACTGCTTTAGAAGAACAACGGGATCATAATTAGTGCTGGCTATTTCACGTTTATTCACATGTAATTTGATTAAAGTAAATCCTGGCTATGCAACCAGTTTCCATTCTCAATTAACTGGATGTCTACGAACAAACGGTCCATGCCCATACAGTCATCATTGACCAATATTGATCTAAGCTACCGAAATTGACGCCGCTTATTACCAGGGTCACTACTTCTAAGCACGTAGTTGGTTTAATATTGATTACGAATTTAACCCGTTATCTGCATTGATTACAGAAACGGAGTTAACCAAATTCGGTTTCCTGCGGAGCAGCAGCTCTTTGGATTTACCGAGGATATCACCGAGGAGCAAACGTCACAATATCGCCGGTAAGTTTGAATATAATAATCTATTTCTATTTGAATTTATGTCCCGTTGCCGTGAATTAGGTTTTTAAAACCTTTTAATTAATATGATAAGCCTGGCGAATTCAGAGGACACGAATAGTTGGCAAGGATATCGATCGTGCACCTCGCTGTGTGCTTGCAGCCCAGTATATAAGCAAGTGGACCAACAGAACGTTAGTATTAAACAGTACTCTGTTCATAGCCCAGAAGGGGAATGTGTCGTACGTCACAGTACGTAGGCCTATATTATCCTCAATTGAGGGAAACCACGGGAAAAATCTGCAACTGTAGTGTCGAGAAATAACCAACTGGTAATTTATTCTACCCTATTGTATGGCCTCAAAGTCACTTTCATTTTATGTGGGCCTATCGGATGTCCTTTCGTAATTGTTAAGGCTGTTGCTAATTACTTAAAATAACCAAGTAAAATACAGCTCCTATAACTATAACCAAAACATGTAGATATTTATTTCTATGCAAAATGTATGAATATATGTTGTATCTGTTGCATCAACCTGTTTACTGCTGTAAGGGCCATATACGACATAGTTATGGTTATGGAAACATTTTGTATAAGCCATTTCACGACCAACAGTACACAATAAATTCACTTATACTGAAGAGATCGGGATACAAAAGAAGAAATATATTTAGTGAGTTCAATTAACACCGTACATTATATTATTATTCCATTAGGGCCGAAGTTTCTTATAACAAATTGTTAACATAACCATAATACAAAATATATGTGTAGATACACCGCAAGTAGTCTTTGTTTTTCTTTCAAATAAATTGCGTGGCAAGTGAACAC